CAATCGATGGTCACTACAAATTTAGGGTCATGCCCTTCGGCCTTACTAACGCACCATCCACGTTTCAAGCAGCCATGAATGATCTTTTTCGTTCAGTGTTACGTAAGCCTGTATTGGTTTTTTTCGATGAGATTCTGGTGTATAATTCTTCGATCGACGCACACTATGAACACCTCTTCTTCGCCTTCGACACACTATCGACCAATCAGTTCCATGCCAAAGCCTCCAAGTCTCTGTTCGCAGTCACGGAAATACCCTTTTTGGGTCATATTATTTCCGCCCAAGGAGTTAAAGCCGACCCAGACAAATTTTCATCCATCCAATCATGGCCCACCCCAACATCTTTCACTACATTGCGTGCCTTCTTGGGCCTCACAGGTTACTACCGTCGATTTTTCCAATCTTATGCACACATCGCCTCTTCATTAACAGACCTCCTAAAAAGAGCCACCTTCACCTGGACCGAACAAGCCCAAAACGTATTCACAGCACTTAAACACGCCATGACACAACTCCTTACCCTAGCTCTTCGAAACTTTGCTGAAACATTCGACATCACAACTGATGCATTTGGTGTGGCAATTGGTGCGGTGTTTTCTCAACATGACAAACCCATCGCTTTCTTCGGAAAAAAATTTGTGATCGAATGCAAAATAATTCCACCTACGTTAGAGAGTTGTATACAATCACAGAAGCCATTTAAAAATGGCGACAATACCTCTTAGGGTACAAATTCAGAGTGTATACAGACCACCACAACTTGAAGCACCTTCTCACGCGGACAATCCAAACACCAAAACAACACAAGTGGCTAACAAAGTTGTTAGGGTACGATTTCGAATTGCATTACAAACTGTGGAAAGAGAATAAAGTCGTTCATGCCTTAAGTCATATCGATACTCTAACTGTTTTCACCATTTCCAGCCCTATAGCAACATGGTTAAAAACATTGAGAGCTTATTACACCACCAACCCCGAGGGACAAAGATTGTTAACAAAACTGGAGCAAGAACCATCATCACTTCCTCGTCATACATTTTCTAACAGCTTGGTTTACATCCAAGGCCGTTTACTTATACCTAACATTCCCCACATTCGTCTTCTTCTTTTGCAGGAATTCCATACATCCACACTCGGAGGACATGTAGGAATCAATGCCACTACTCGTCGCATTGCAGCTTCTTTTTCATGGTCAAAACTCAAACAAGAGGTCACCGTTTTCGTCCGCAAATGCTCGACTTGCCAAGCCACAAAATACCCAACACACAAGCCATAAGGTCTCATCCAACCACTACCCGTACCAGCAAAAACATGGTCAGACATCACAATGGATTTCATTACCCACTTACCCCCATCGACTGGGAAAACAACCATATGGATTATTGTGGACCGTCTCTCAAAATTTTCCCATTTTATTGCTCTACCAAACCACTTCACATCCACCACCGTAGCCTCTATTTTCCTTAGGGAAATATACCGCCTTCATGGTCTACCCAACTCCATAATATCTGATCGAGACCCGCTTTTCCTGAGCCAATTCTGGACACAACTATTTAAACAACTGGGCACGAAACCCAAACACTCCAGTGCATACCATCCCCAAACGGACGGTCAAACAGAGGTAGTCAACAGGTGTCTAGAATCTTACCTTCGCGCCTTCGCACACAAAGAACTATGTACGTGGCAACGCTACTTGTACCTGGCAGAGTTTTGGTACAATACCAGTTTTCATTCAGCCATCAAGATGACCCCATTCAAAGCCATGTTTGGAACAGATGTAGCAACCATCCACGACTACACACCGGGCACAAATCACATAGCTTCCATCGATTCCTCCTTGCTAGAACATCATTGCGTCATCACATTACTGAAGGAGTCACTCCAACAAGCCCAATAGAGAATGAGGAAACAAGCTAACAAGAAACAACTGGACAAACAATTTAAAGTTGGTGATTTGGTATGCCTTCATCTAAAGAACTATAGACAAAATTTAGTTGTTGCTCGTGACAACCAAAAGCTTTCCAAAAGGTGTTTCGGTCCATAAAAATCTTGGAACGAATTGGTCCAGTTGCATATCGTCTAGAGTTACCAACCTCATCTCGTGTTCATCCAGTCTTCCATGTTTCATTGTTAAAACAAAGTCACTCTCAGGATGTCTCAAAAGAATTTCCAACTGAATGGGTCACTGATACACCCATCCAAACACCGATTCCAGAACATATTCTCCAATGACGACAACAAGACGGCACAACTACTCAGCTACTCATCAAATGGGCCAATCACAACCACTCCGAAGCAACATGGGAAAACAAACAAGACATTACATTACCATTCCCTGATTTCAATACCAGACTCACAGACGAGTCCAATCTCGAGAGGGAAGGAATTGATACAGCCCAACAGTTACCAAACCTGGAAGCAACCCAAATACCCCAAACTGAAACTTCAACCAGGCCCAAACGAATCATCAAAAGACCTGCACGATTCCTTGAAGAAGAATGTGACTTTACCAAGTCAAAATAGTTAGCGTTGGATACTTCTAATTCTCTTGTTTTCTGCATATGTTCCTAAATAATTGGGTTGCACTTCCAGAAGTAACCCACGTAGACAATTAGCTGCACTTTTCATTCCTTTAGCTAGTATTTAAGTATTGTACTTTTTGGTTTAATGGATATTCAGAAAATTGCTCCGGTCATTGTTCATTCTTAAGTTCCTGGAGGTTAACCATCTTGAATATGGTTCTATCATAATATATATAAAGCAATAGTTTGAATGAATAATTGTTTTCCATTTGGCCCATAGTAACATAAATCACTAGCTTTATCCCCCATGATTTTCGATCTGGGTTGTTTGTCCATGACCGCGGTACGTGACCATATCAGTATTACTCTGGATCGCAATAAGAGACCATTAATTGGTGTTCTAACTTTGATGTTAGGGTGGTATTGGATACAATTTGGATCACGATTTCACTCGGTTGGCCCACGTTCCGGAATTAAAACGGTTCGATGATCAAAAGATTGAAAGTCATGATCGAAGATGGAAGGTCTCTTGGTATTAACTAATATCACTGATAAAGTGAGGTGTCTCAAAAGCCTCAAATATAATCCGGTATTCCAGAAACAAAGATATACTGGTTTGCATTCAAAAATTAAATTTCAAAGATGGTTTTTGGAATGATAAGAGCAATATACAAAGTGTTGTGTTGGCTTCTAGTTCGTACAGTCTAGCAACTCACATGTTTACCCAAACTTGTTTCGATATTATACCAGGTTCCTCAGGACTTGTCCCAATTTACTTGGAGTTGAACTTGGCAAACATTTTTCGTAAGGCTCATGAAGATCCACAATACAATTGCACACCGATTTAACCCTGTAAGCCATTATTCTATTCTCATAGGTCTAACTAGTTTGTAGTCTAGGGTTCACAACCCTCCTCGTCTCGATCAAGAATTCCATAATAGAATTCATCTGTTAACTTTACCATTGAGCTCATAAAGAATCATATCACTAATCTAGTAAGTACTTTGGGTTCTAACAACCCTACGTGATTAACACTACTTAAATAGAATTATGTACTACTTGGTTAAGATGATACATTATCTCATTTAATGATTTGTACCATCGTAAACTATCCTCAAGATCTTTGTCTCTAAGTCGTATCCATCCCTCACCGATTTTGGTTTCATTTCCCGAAAAGAACACATCAGAAACGCTCTTGCACTATTTATATTAGGCTGAAAAGCCAAAATTTTGTCATAAAAATATCTAGGTCGCATCGTGACCCACGTATCCAGTTCTAGACTCACTTCGTGTCAATGTGTCAAATATTGAGCCACGTATAATAAGGCATGATGTGCCTTTTATAAAGAGTGCCATGCTTTTTTGCCACTCACTGCCGACTCTGTCATGTGTCATGCCTTTCTGCCACATGTCCCATGACTAACATTCATAATCATGTCGGGACGTACACACATGCTTGTGAAACGAAATTGCCCTATGATGCCTAAGTCAGAATGGCATTGCATGCTCATAATGTGAGTTTGATGCTTTTATACAAAAGAGTGAGCTCCTCTTACCTTAGGATATGCTTTGGTTTTATAAGGATTTTTTTGGGAGTACGAGAACATTCTTTTACCTGACCTCTTATGGGATCTTTATTAAATGTGAGATGTATTTTTGTACTCCAAATGATTAGTTTATATGCTATATATGTACCTTGCTTTTATATGCTTTTATAAAGTGTATGTTTTCAGGGATATTTTTATTCATGGTTTTTGGCTGATGTATATTGCAATGTTCTCGGTGCTGTTTTGGCCATTCGAGGTTGTTGGGGTTGTTCGTATCCAGGTGCGGACCTATAAGGACCCAGGTCGGTATTATCCGATGATATTGGTCTGAGTACACCATTAACAAGATACATCTTTGATCGAGAGTGTTTTGTTTGCTACATTTATGCTCGTTTAAAAGTTTGGAAGTTGTTTGCCTTTTGGAAATCATGGATGAAAGCTATTCAAGATGAAGATTCGAGGATGTGTCCTTTTCAAGTAAGGGAGGATGATATTCAAGATGAACATTCGAGGTGAATCCATTTTCAAAAGGGGAAGGATGATGCAGGGTATTTGAAAAACAAATCGATGATTAATGACAACAAGCTTTTCAAGTACATCCCAAGGATAACCATAATTTGTTGTAACGGTTTGAAAATGATTAATCATATTGTAGTTTTAACTATTTAAAACTAACTCTAGCTACTTTATGCTTCAAAAAAGATAATTAGTAATATAATTCGACAAACAATATATTCAAGAGAAATTCATCCATGAACTGTTAATGGTCATGTATACATTTAAAATTCAGAGTAATTTTGGTACACCTCAAATCGCTTTGGCTTAGAACCTTAACCTTAAATAGTTTACTATTAGAGACATATTAAAAACCAACAAAAATACATGGAATAGGTGTTACTACACCAAACATTCATATCGAGAATTTTACCAATGAATTCATAACAGAAAGGCTTCAATAATCGATACAATCTCATGAATATAAATAATATTGTAACGGTAAAAGCCAGATTCCCCTAGTAATTTCTTCCATTCACCTTCGGTCCGTTCTCGCCCATTAGAAAAGTATGCAGACATCACTAGATCTAATGAAACATGTACATCATTGACCAGATCATCTTGTGCAGGCTGTTGAACGATCTCCACAATAATCACTTTTCCAGTATCCACATGTATCGCTTTTCGACAATTTTTAAGTATCTTAACACAATCATCATTGCTCCAATTGTGCAATATATACTTAAATGTAAAAAAAAATGTTGTTAGCATTTTGTGTGTTCTGTTAACAAAGACACCAACACCCATGCCAAAAATCAAGCAAAAGAATGGAAAGAATTTCAAAATATCATATTTGTCTTGTCTAATAATTAAATCTAAATCTCATATATATATATATACCTAAATAAGTTTTCGAAATATCATATTTTCCAAAATTTCATTTTTAATAGTTGTATAATTATCTATTACAATTTAAACTCATTATAATTATAAATAAAGGTAGAATACCTATAATATGCCAAAAACTCATTTTTTATATCTTTATAATTATTTATTGTAATTTAAAATCATAATAATAATAAATAAATATAGAATAACTATAATACCCTATTATGTTTAGTAGGGGTGAGCACAACAGAAAAACCTAACCAAAACCAAATTAACCGAAATAACCGAACCATTACCAAAAAATGTGGTGCGGTTTCTATTTTTGATTAACCAAATACATAAAACCGAACCACTTAAAACCGAACCGGACCAATAATATTAGTAATTTTTTTACTATAATATAATATTAAATATATGGTATGTAATTATATTTGGAATTGAAAATTTAAATGGTAATTATGTGGAATTAAATGAGATACCTAAGCTTCTATCATATTAATAAAGTTATAAATATTGAATCGTTCATTTTTTTATAACAATGTACTTTATGTTTTATAGCAAAACATTTTTTATTTTTATCTTATTTTCAACCATGATGATTAATCAATATTAACCATTAACCATAACTATTAATCAACAAAAAAGGTTTACCAAAACCAATATTAATCAATATTTATTGGCTACCAAAATGCATTAACCATTTATAGTAGTTATGGTTCGGATTGCTAAAAATCGAACCAAACCGTTCCATACAGACCCTTACTATTTATGTTTTCTTTTTCTCGATCTTGATGCCTTCTATTTTCCTGTCCTTTTTTTCCTTCTATTTTCCTATCCTTTTATCAATGAATATCAAGACTACATGTTTTCTAATCTCAAATTGATCGCAAAACAAACGTTTGCTCCAATGAATTATAAACGCCATCTGTCATTTTTTCCTTAAACAAAATATGCCTTTAAGTAGTCAGGCCCGAAAAGAAAAAACGATGTTAAATTGTTTTTCTTTTTTTCCAAATCAAAAAAATGTGGTGTTCTTATTTCTTTCCATTGATTTTCCCAAAACGTATTAACCAATATCATCTCTTAGGTCTTATTAAATTTGATCTTGCTTTAAAAGTTTTTGCATTAGGTTTTGCCGATGCGAGGACGTGTGTGATGGGTTTGAAAACAATTAACCATCTGCTAATTAGACTTTTTTTAATTAGACTTATGTTATAAACCACACCGCAAATGTTATAAAACACGTTATGTCAGTGCAGTTTGGTACGAACGCTTTATGCAGCTTAGTTGTAGTTTGTGATGTTTGATCTTCATTATTTTATCGAATGAGACCAAATTTCATTCCATGTATTCATTCGTATCATATAAATTAAAATTCCGGATAAAAAACTTGATTAAAAAATAGGATAAATATGATATTTTGAATATACTTACTAGGACCGTCTAAGGGAGTTTACAGCGTGTCAATGTCTAAGGCCCACTACAAATCTGGGGCACACAATTTTCTTAGCCTTCGTATTAGCCTAGGTTCACTTTTTATCCAAAGTAGTATTAGGGAGGAAAAGCTAAAGGTATTTTACATTTTTTTTTATCTATAAGGTACATACATGAAATTGTTTAGAGGTTGTACTTATGGTAATAATTAATTTTTTTTTTCATGAGTATAAATTTTTTTTTATAAAAAGAACTTAAGATTTGAGAACCATAATGGATTGTCATAAGTCTGTTATAAAAAGTTCGTCATGGCTCTCAGGCTTGTACTTAAAGTCAAGCTTTAATAAAATGTCGTCTTAACTCCTTTATATATATATGTAAACATGAATTTTATATATATATATATATATATATATATATATATATATATATAATAATAATAATAATAATAAATTGCAGTCTTAAGTCACGTCATTCAAACGACAAGGCTCACTACGGATCGTAAAAGTTTCAACATTGCCGCCAAAGTCATGTCGAACGTTATTTAGAACCTTGACCTCATTTTAGAATTTTCTGTGAATCTGTTTTCCCTTTCATTCATCCATTTTGATTCCTATTTTCTTGATACCGGAAACAAGATTTGTCAATCCGCTTCTAGGTTTCGAAATTTATGATTGATGAGTTGTTTGAAGTTTTAAAAATCAGAAGGTAAATTACTGATGAGTTGTTTGAAGTTTCAAAAATCAGAAGGTAAATTACTATATTTCTAATTTCTAATTTTTTTTGTTACTATTGATAATGCATTATAACATTTTGATTTCTAATTATTTTTTTTATGATTCGTTTCTGAATTTTTTTAAAGGTATAGAGGACAGAGCTATTAAAACTTTGCTATTTGAGTTTCAGAATCGATGAACCTTTTGGCTAAATTTATTTATAAATATGTTACTAAAAAGTTTATTTCAATGAATATTAGAAGGATGGTTATTTTCAAGTAGAATAACTTTTTGTGTTTAATTTTGAATGAAATTTTAGTTTATGTATTTTGTAGTAGAATATGAAAAATTATAATTGTTTTGCTTAAATTTTTATGAATTTCAAGTTTTAGGAACTTATTTTTTTTTTTTAATTGCGTAGGGCCTTTGAAATCTCTCGATCGGACCTGGATATTATAATTCTAAAGACAAGTTGTCACGATATGATCATTATAATTTCATTAACGACAAAGTTTACCTTGATGAAGATTGTTTCTGCAGGAGGAATGGCTTTAAACATATCCCCAGCAACATGAGTAACCCCATCATATGTTGGTGCAGTGGAAATTACCTGTGGCAAATCAAAGTTGATCCCCTTGAGATGTGGATATGCCTTCACAATCTCAGATATTGCAACACCAGTACCACCTCCAACATCCACCACACTTCCTTTCATCCCAAGAAATCCATTTTTATAATTCAACATGATAACATCCATGGTGGACTTAGTAAGACATGCCATACCCTCGTTGAACATTTTGTTGAATTCTGAATTGATCAAAGAAAAATCAAATATTTCGTCTCCATGGGCCATTTTAAATGCTGTACCTCCTTCTTTAATCGACCGACTTAGGTCCCGAAGAGGTGAAAGCATGAAAGGGTCCGTATACAACATAACAAAAGGTGTCATTGTTATATTTTTATGGTTTACCAGCCAATTAGAGCAGTGGTTCAGGGAGTAAATTGTGTCCGCTTTTCCATCATCAGATTGAGGTATTTCATCGAATATCTTTCTGTGGACCAAGAATCTCATAAGTCGTGCAAGCCCATCAACATTTACTGATGGAGAGTTGATACCAGTGGCGATTTCTGACAACGTAGTTGGGCGATTGTGATTGCTTATTATGTCAGCAATACCAAGCTCAACACAGCATCGTATAGCCATGGCGTCAAAACTTCCGAACAGGTGTCGGGCAATTTGTGCCTTGCCTATTATCGCTGCATTATCCTCTATTCCACCTTGTGTGTTCATCGTTTCTCAAATTCTTGGCCTCTTCAATGGATTGGTGGTAGTAAATCTTGAAGAGATGTGTATTTATAAGCCAAAAAGTATTCATGGGGTTCCATCTAGAAGAAAAACTATAAATGTCGTTTGAAAAAAATAATAGCAATTAATGAAATATGCTCTTGTCAAAAAGAATGGGCATCGACTGCTGAAAGTTACTTTTACCCACACAACATGACTATCATTTATTTCTTTGAATGTTTCAATTTTCTTATAAATAAAATTCATTTCCATAATCGTCCGATTTTTTCTATGGCTTTACTAATCTAATCTTCTAATTTTCTAATAAAAAACTCCTTAAATTACCACATGCTATTCCTATATTTTTTCCATCTTTTTCTGTTAGTTCTAGAAAATGCCACGTGCCACTGTTTTTATTCGGCAGGTATTGTTACACAATTTCATAACAATGTAAATGAAATATTTGACTAATTTTCCGTTTTACTCATACAAAATCACAATTGAGTTAAATTGAGTAACTAATTCAAATTTTATTGCCATTGAACAGGAACAAATTTTTAGTTTTTTTTTTTAAGTATATAGCTTTTTACTAGGTTACAACCCATGAAAACCACAGATAAAAGATTTATAAAAACGTCTATATACCTATCTATTACACTTATTTTACTACAAATACTATAACACATAAATTTAACTATAAATAACTCTTTTCTAATAGAAAGGACATTTGTAAAGACTATAACATTAATTCGTCAAATTTATTTTGTATGTTAACTAAAAAAAATGATTAGTAATAGTTATTTTAAATTAAAATATTATTTAAATAAAGAATATTAAAAACCATCTAAACATAAAGTTGTATATTGTAACAAACAATAATAGGTATGTAGACAGAAAATCGGCTTTTATTTTTAAAGATAAAAACCGTTTTCTAGAGAATAAGTTACAAATTAATAAAGAATTAAATTTTATATTTAATGTAAGTTACCTAATTGTAACATATACCATGTTACCAACTTTTAAAAAGTAGAAAATTACAGATTTGATCCATGTGATATATTGTTTACTTTAATTTTAATACTAAAACGATAATCTATGCTAATATTAATATATATATAGATATATATATAATATATATTATATATATTATATATATAGATATATATATATATATATAGAGAGAGAGAGCTAGGCTCAATGTTAAAGTACTTATTGTGTTATTGTATGCATAAATGTGGGCCAATCATAATTAAATAAAAATTTAAATAATTAAATAAATAAACAAGGGTATTTTAGTAATTTGATAAATAGCTTCGACAAATAGTTCCTGTAATCACGCTAACATTCACTTGTAACCTAATTTCTTTTTTTATATACAGCAGGTCATCATCTTCCACAAATCGTCGTCATCCCTCCATTCACAATCGAGCCAGCCTTCCCTCCCTGATACTTCCGATCATTGTGGCCATTCTCTGCTTCCAATCAGTCGTTTGTCCCAATCGTTGCTTCCCCAGTTGTCGCGCAAACACACACGCATATCATTGCGTCCAAGGTATTCCCTCCAGATCCACCTCTATTTCTTCCTTTATTTATCAATGTATTCTGATCGAAATCTATTGTTTCGGATGTTGCATTATTTCAAAATTTTGATTTTGATGGTGATATTCTGATAAAATCAAGAGAAATTTGTGTTTCTATGATTTCATCTCAGAAGAAGAATTAAAGCTAAATTCTCGAGGTTTATATTCCGTGAATGATGTTTCTCCTTTCGATTCTTTGTTATCTGCGATTCTTCATCTGGGTTGGCGTGGAAACTCTCATGATTGTGATCGCTTAACTCAAGAATCCCACAGAAGTTTTATAAAATGCGAAGTTTATTGGTATTTTTCTCCGATCTCATTGATTTTGAACGCCAATTCAATGGAATTGAGCGTTGGAATCTGAATCTGAATTGGAATCAGAAACAGTTTCTCTGAATTTTCTCCTCTAACGTGATTGGAACCAACCCCTAAACTTTCTCTTTTTTATGTCATCCCCAAAAGTT